TTTTTGATAAAGTTGCGAGGATATCCATTTTGTTGGAAGATGTTGCATAGGGGGTCTCTTTCTTTTTTCTGCTGTTCTGGGTTGCTGCAGTGTGTTTGTGCTTGTTTGAATAATGTTCTTACACAGCTCCTCTGTGTAAGAACATTACACAGCTGCTCTCCAAACCTCCAGAGCCCAGAGTTTTATTTCTTTATGAATTTACTTACTAGGGATGTATCTAGTTCTTCCCTCTTCTCACAACATACCTGTGAGTTCAATGAGATTGAGAGAAAGTGAGTGGCCCCAAATCACTCAGGGTTAGGGTGACTAAATGGGGATTTGAATCTAGTTCTCTTTGTTCTGAGGTTAACCACTATAGGCCACTGCTCTTCTCCATCTGATTTAAAGTGAGAGAAAATAGGAGTAATGACTAAATATGGGACGTTTATAATTTGAGGTCTAGATACTCTTATATTTGTACTTCCTCTGAGGAAGTCAATGCAGATTAAATTACAAGGAGGGGAAAAGGCAGAGTGAAAATGTTTCTTCTGGTTAACTTTGTCTGCTTCAGTAGGAGTCCATGTTGTGCCCTCCATCGTATGCAAGTCCAGTAGATTCAGGAAGGTCCAAGGAATAAGAGCTAAAACTTGTGGTTTTTTGTTTCATTTTCAGGGAGCAGAGATGGCCAGGGCCAAATTCTCCAGCGGTTTCCAGAAAAGGACTGGGAGGACAACCCTTTCCCCCAGGGTATCGAACTGGTGAGTAGACTGTTGCCCAGGTGCAAGGGAGAGCAAAGGATGGTGGGATGTGTAGCAACTCCCAAAGTGATTGATTGATTGATTGATTGATTTGGGTTGTTTGTTTTTATTTAGATTTATATGGCTATTCCTTTCACTGCAGTGACTCTGGGCAACAAAGTATAAACAGAAACCAGTATAAAACTTAAAAGCATGTAATGCTAAACATGTTATCCAAAACAAAACAGCAGCCAAGAGTAGAAAGCCATATGATATAACATCAACCCACCCAAGCTTCGCTAACTTCATGATCCCCATGTCTGGGCAAACAACCAGGTTTTCAGCACTTTCTGGTAGGCCAGCAGTTTGGACCCATCTTAAATGGTAAGGTGTTCCAGAGAGCAGGTGCCACAACAGAAAAGGCACACTTCCTGGGCCCACAAAATGTTATTCTTTAATTGATGGGATCCATAGCACACCCCTCCTGCCAGATCTAGTAGGGCAGGTAGAGACCACTGGAGAGAGACAGTCATTCAAGTTTCCAGTGCCCACGCCACAAAGGGCTTTATAGGTAACAACCAGCACCTTGAATTGCACTCAGAAGCCTACTGGGAGCCGGTGTAGCTCACATAAGCAAAGGCGTAACACAAGCAAATCAGGAAATGTCAATAATAGCCCACACTGCAGCATTCTAGACCAATTGCAGCTTCTGGATGCTGTTCAAGGGCAAGTCCATGTAGAATACATTGCAGTAATTCATTTGGGAGATGACCAGAGCCTGAGTGACCATGCACTGTGCCTTCTGGTCCAGAAAAGGATGCAAGTGGCATATAACATGAAGCTATGCAAAAGCCCCCTGAGCACAGCTGACACTTCAAGCAGGAGCTGTGAGTTCGAGAACCCCTTAATTGCACACCAGTTCTGTCTGGGGTAATGCAACTCCATGCAGAACTAAAGATGGAACATCACCAGATGTGGGGTGCTGTAAAATCACCCATTCTGTCTTGTTAGGGTTGAGGTGAAACCTGTTTCTCCACATCCAGACCCCCACAGCCTCCAGACATCAGGACAAGTCCTCCATGACATTGCTTGGTTGGCCTGGGGCAGAGTTGTGCAACGGTTTGAACCTGTTCAGCCTGAGGAAGTGGACAGGGTCTTCATGACTGTGAGATTGGCCACCTGCTCTTTAGACCCTTGTCCCTCCTGACTAACTAAAGCTACCTTGGGAGGGTGTCATATGAGTGGGTTCTAGCAGTGGTAAATTCCTCCTTGGGTGAGGAGATTGTTCCTCCACCTCTTAAGGAGGCCTTGGGTCACCCTCTCCTCAAGAAACCATCTCTGGAACCCACCATACTAGACAAATTCTGTCCAGTGTCTAACCTCCCCTTTTTGAGAATGGAGGTTGAGAAGGTGGTCACGCAACAGCTTCAGAGAATCCTGAATGAAACAGATTATCTGGACCCCTTTCAGTCAGAATTTAGGCCTGGGTATGGGTCAGAAATGGCAGTGGTTGTGCTTTAGATGATCTCTGGTGAGAGCAGGATGGGGGTTGTGTATCCATCCTTGATCTGCTTGACCTCTCAGTGGCCTTCAATACCATCAACCATGGTATCCTTCTGGACCAGCTCTGGGGATTGGGGGTGAGTGGCACTATATTGTGCTGGTTCTGCTCCTTTCTCTGGGGTTGATACCAGTCAGTGGTGATTGGAAGAGAGAGATCCTGCCCTCGGCCCCTCCTGTGTGGGGTGCTGCAGGGTTCGGTGCTCTCTCTGCTCCTATTTAATATCTACATGAAGCTGCTGGGTGAGGTTATCTGTTGCCATGGGGTGAGGTATCAGTATGAATTAAGCAATGACATTGATGTTCTATCCCAATGCCTGGAGGCTGGGGGAACAACAGACTTCAACTGAATCCTGGCCGGCTGAGTGGCTCTGGGCTTTGGGGCTTTCCAGTTCTGGGACTATGCTATCTTTGGTCCTGGATGGAGTTGCACTGCCCCAAACAGACCCGGTATGCAACTTGGGAGTCCTCTTAGACTTGCAACTCCTGCTTGAGGAGCAGGTGGCAGTCGTGGCTAGGGGGGCCTTTGCACAGCTTTGTGTCCTGCACCAGTTGTGTCCGTTCCTGGAATGGGAGGCTCTGCTCACAGTCACTCATGCCCTGGTCACCTCCTGGGTGGACTGTTGTAGTGCCCTCTACATGGACTCCCCTTGAAGAGTATCTGGAAGCTTCAGCTGGTGCAAAATGTGGTGGCATGGGCAGTTATGTGTGCTCCTAGAATGGCATACCGTACACCTCTGCTTCATGAGCTGCATTGGCTGCCAGTTTTCTTCCAGGTCCAATTTAAGGTGCTGGTTTTGTCCTTTAAAGACCTTCATAGCATGGGGCCAGGTTATTTGAGGGACCGCCTCTTCCCAATTACACCTGCCCGTCCCATCAGGTCCGGCAGAAGATGTATGTTGCGGGTCCCATCTGCTAAGAAGCTATACCTGGTGAGACACAGATGGGCCTTTTCTGCCATGGTACCCGCCCTGTGGAATATCATCCTCCCCAAGGTGAGACTGGCCCCATCCATGATGTCCTTCTGGAAGTCCCTCAAAACTTGGCTGTGCCAACAGGCTTGGGGCTCTCAAAGGAATGGTGACTTAATGAGGCAGCTACATTGTAACATTTAATGCTCTCTCCTAGCCTTTTAATAATAATATTAATGTTTTAATTATGGAATGTTTTTTTAATGTTGTCATTTTATGATTTTTTATTGTATGCCACCCAGAGTCATGTTTTGTGAGATAAATATAATAAACATTTATTTATTTACCATATAAATATGATAAATAAATAAACAAACTACATATTGATTATACCTCACTGCATACCATCAGTTGACCACATCTAGTGGCTTCATGTAGATGTTAAATAGGAGTGGAAAGAGTGTCAAGCCCTGCAGCACCCCACAAAGCAAGGACTGCGGGCTAGATCTCTCTCCCCCTTTCAATACCAGCTGGAACCTATCCCAGAGGAAGGAGGTGAACCAGCACAAAACTGTGCCCTTCTGACCTAACCCCTGAAGGATACCATGATTGATGGTATTGAAGGTCACTGAGAGATCAAGGAGAACAGATGGATGCACTACCCCCTTCCTGCTCTCACCAGAGGTCATCCACAAGCACAACCAATGCTATTTCAGTTCTGCACCCAGGTCTGAAACCTGATTGAAAGGGGTCCAGATAATCAGCTTCCTCCAGGGCTCCCTGAAGCTGCAGTGTGACCATCTTCTCAACAAACCTCCCCAGAAAGGCAAGGTTGGAGATCAGACAAAAGTTGTCCAGAACAGTAAGGTCCAGCAAAAGTTTTTTGAGAAGGAGGTGGACCACTGCCTTAAAAAGGAGCACCCCTTTTCTCTAGGATGCATTTACCAGTGCCAGAACCCACTCACATGTCACCTCCTGAGAGGCCTTAGCCAACCAAAAGGGACATAGATCTAACACACAAGTAGCTAACTCCCAGCTCTGAGAACCCTGTCCACTTTTTTTAAGTCAAACTCAGCCCAGATAACCATGCAAGACTGAGCTTCAGTCAACTCTGTAGGATCTGTTCATGCCTAACTGTTCTAAATAAAAAAGTATAGTCCTACTACACTGATTCTTCAGAGACTGATCTTTGAGCATCTCTCCAATTCAAAAATTATCCATTTAATTTTCTATTTCCTGTCTTTAGTCAGTTACTAATCCATGAGAATTCTTGTCTTCCTGTCCTTTGGAGCCTTTCTTATGAAGATACATTGTTTAGATGAAGGTCTTCCTTACTCCTTGGAGATGGAGCCAATAGGAAAGGACTGACTCCATCTCTTTAAGCTAGAAGGCTTAAGATTTTTCCCTTCTGGTGGGGGACACCCCCCCCTTCAGTCTTAGACTTTTCCTTTAGAGAAGCAGTGGCTTTCCATCAGCTTCATTTGGGGAACCAGGAATTCAGAAAAAAGGTTTGCTCCCCTGCTACATGAAAGCATCTGCCACTTGCTGCCACCAGCTGAGGCCGTAGCCAAGACATAGCTAGGCCAGGCTAGGCCAGGAGATCAGCTAGATTATCTAGATCCCTTTCAGTCAGGTTTAAGGAAGGTCATAGCACTGAGATGGCATTGGTTGCACTTTTTGATGACTTTGACAGAGTCAGGATAGGGGACCACCCTAGTTATCCTTCATCTCTCAGTGGCCTTCAGTGCCATCAATTCTGGTATCCTTTTGGACCATCTGTGGAAATTGAGTTTAGGAAGCACTGTGCCACAAGGCTTCATGTTCTTGCCTCTTTAATATCTGTAAGAAGCTTGTGTGTGTATGTGTGTGTGCGTATACCTTCAAATCAATGTTGACTCCTGGCAACTGCCTGGACAAGTTCCTGCAGTTTTTTGGCAAGATTTCAGAAGTGGTTTGCCGTTTTCTTCTTCCTAGAGCTGAGAGAGAGGGACTGGCCCACAGTCACCCAGCTGGCTTTGCGCCTAAGGCAGGACTAGAACTTACAGTTTTCTGGTTTCTAGCTTGATGCCTTAACCACTACACCAAACTGAGTCTCATAAGAAGCCATAGGATGAGGTCATCTGTCAGTTTAGGGTTAGGTATCACCAGCTGTACATCTGAACTTCAAGCCATCTAAACAATGTTGTCAGCAAGCTCTCTCAGTATCTGGGGGCTGTCAAGGTCTGAATGGGGAGAAACAGAGTCAAGCTCAACTCTAGTAACATCAAGTGAACCCTCTGAATCTGGAGAGTATCCATCTTTAGTCCTGAGTAGGGTCACACTTCTTGGAATTGCTGCACAATTTTAAGGTCTTCATGGACTTGTAATCCCTGATCAAGGAATAGGTGGCAGCTGTGGCCAAGGATTCATCTTGTGCATTGATTGCACCCTTCACTGGAGCAGGAGGTCCTCTGTACCATCACTCACACTTTGTGGACTATCCACACTTTACATGGAGCTGCTCCTGAAGACCACTCAGAAACTGCAACTGGACCAGAATGTAGCTCAGGCAGTTATGGGCAAGCCTCAGTATGTCCATTTAACCCCTCTGCTTCAAGAGCTGCACTGGCTACCAGCTGGCATCTAAAGGTGATAACTAGTACCTTCAATTCCACCCACGTGCCCTTCATGACATAGGGTTTGGTTCTCCAGGACTGCCCATCTCCCATAGCATCTACCCTTCTTGTTTGATCTGACAGAGTCGACATGCCCCAGGTCCCATCGTTAAAACAGTGCCATCTGATGGGACCCAGGAATCATGCCTTCTATGTCGCTGCTCCTGCCCTCCGGAACGGCATCCCCTGAAATCCGCACGGCCCCACCCTTGCCTTCTTTACAAAAGCCCTTAAAACCTGGGGCCTTCCCAGGCCCTGGACTAATTTGAATGATGCTTATAGTGCTCTTGCCTATATGGGGATATTTTGGTTCTTCTATATCACTTCCTGTTAATGTTTGTTTTTATCTGTTTTAGTGTGCTGCCCAGAGTAATTTTTTGAACTGGAACAACCTTATAAATCCAAAAGATTAAACTAAAGTAAACTAGGAGATGGTAGAAGTGCCTGTTTGGGCTCCAAAGCCAGTGGAGCACAGAGATCAGTGGCAGCGCCAACAGAGCAGGGCTGGAGGCTGCTCAGAATCCTTCCCCCAGGGACTTAGACCTTGGGCAGGTGCCAGATGTAGTGACCCTCCAGTGGCCTAAAAGAACACCCCCTTGAATCAGTGAACAGGAGTGCTGGAAAGAGAGCGTGCCCTGCCAGACCAAAGGCTGAGGCCAGTTACAGGGCAGCCTTTGCCCGAGCAGCTTTTTTGCAGAACCTCCTTGAAAGTGGGACATCTTTTCCACAGGCAGTACAGAAGGATGGATTCTCTCTTTGTGGTAGGGCATGAAGGTCAGCCCCAGGGTGCCTCGTTGAGGGAAGGGAAGGGAAGGGAAGGGAAGGGAAGGGAAGGGAAGGGAAGGGAAGGG